GATTTAAGTCATAGCTATTATCTCCCTGACTTCAAATCATAGTTAACTTATTCGATGGAAAGAGTAACGTTAACAATAGTAATGATGAAGAGATGTTGATTTCTTGGATGAGGCACATAAGGAAAGCATTAACAATGAGATTAGAGAGAAGAGGCAGAAAAAGAAGCAGAGAAATCATGAGGCACCTGTAATTTCTCAGGACGTGACTAAAATTCCTGAAGTCATAGACATATTAATTTCAGAGCAAGACAAGCAAGACAAGCAAGACTTATCACAATCTTATGAGGCTAATTCTGAGAGTATAAGATCTACATCTTATATCTTATCAAAGCAACCGCAAATTAATGCATCCAAATTAACATGTAATCTGAAAACTGTGAAGATTTTTCATAATCAGAGTCATGTGATATGGAGGAACTTAAATCTGATTTGCATGATAAAGTTATTGCCAAGTTGAATAAAAATATAATTGTGAAACAGGAGTTAAAGCAACAGTTATCATCACTTGCATATACATCTAAGTCAGATCAAACTTCAGAAGGATAGGATCTATCTTCAGATACTGCATAAAATATAATTTGCATGTTCAAGAAAGCTAATAAACTTGGTCAAGAAGCAATTTTATACTGGTGCTACTTTATAGAAAAATATGATAAAAGGATTGATATCCTTGTTGCTGGTAAAGTTAAGAAAAAAACTGCAACATCTATGATATATCAAGAAATTAAACAGCATCTACTTAAAATAATAGATGTGAATTTGTGTCAAAAATTCTTAGAGCTAGAAAATTATATAAATTATTCAGTACATTAGGAATAGAGAAAATTAAACAGGTCTCTTATAGTACTGATGCTATTTTGAGCCTCAATTACTCACAAATACAAAATATTATAGTTAATGTGAATTCAGTAACAAGTTCACACAATAAAACTATGAAGATTCTTTATGATCAGAGTCATGTGACTTTGAAAACTTTTTTCAAAAATCAGATTAAGGTTATAAATACATCAACAAATATATTATCTGCATCTTTCTTCAGTCGATCTAACCCAAATTATAACTGAACTTATTTTCACAACAAAATATTGAATCAATATCTACTTTATATAGAGAATTTAGTAGTAAAATTTTGATTATTATAGTATTACTGACGAGACATTATGCTCATTATGCAGTTTAGATCATATAATGAGGAAAGCATAAAAGGTAGATATAAAACCAGATCTTATTTTATTAAATGTAAACAACGTAAAATTGAGATAGTTACATAATCTCATTATTTAATAATACTATATTTACTCACGCTTCATTGTGATATTTTTTTACAAAGCTAATTTATGTTAACTATAATCTAATTTAAATTGATTTACAATCATAGAAAAAAAGGAAACATAACCTAAGTCTGATAAAGTATTAACCTTTAAATATCTGGATTGGCATACCAAATTAACTAGGTTACCAAGTATTTTGATGAATAAGATTCAATAGCTTATACAAAAATATAAAAAAAAACTGGGCATGAGCCATAGCAATTATTAGAAGATCATCTTATAAATTTGAAGTCAGAAAATAAAGTATCCATTTATCTTTTTCTAAGCAATATGAAAAAAAAGGACCTATAACTTTTGAAATCAGACCTGATCCAGAAAGCATTTCACATACTTGAAATTCTGAAATAATTTCAGAGGGATTGATAATTATAATTTTATATCTGCTTAGCCATAGAACTCGCTATATCCTATTTGTGATAGAAAATATGGGAATTATGAATTATATGGGAGGATTTCTAGGAAAATCAGGTTCTGAGAAATTTTTCACTTAAATTAAAAGCTTAATACATTTTAATCTACAGTAGCGGTCATAAGTATCTGACCGCCTGAGATCGTTCAAAATTATTATATAACTACCCCTTAAATTTTCCAGAAATATAATATAACACAATACATGATCACCTG